TAACCCGACGGGTTAGGTGACACTATATTAGTTTTTAGTCTATTTTCATTTGATAATTAGATCATCTGCCACCTAGACTAATAGTTCTCCAGGCTGTTCTGAGAGGGGGGTCAATTGTTGACTGAATTATTAGAAATAAAACTAAGACTCCGGAATCCACGGTAAAACGATTTATCAGCCCTTTAATGATTAACAAAATTAACGCAGACTTGAGGTAGAATTATACTTTCAGATATTTATTATACAGTATGCCAAATATATGAGTGGTGTTTGTAGATTTTACATTTTTTATATAATATAATTAGCGCACAACACTCGAGATTTTTTTTTCTAAGGTCAATGATCATTTTAAGTTTTTAACTTCAGTTTTCTTTAAATTATCTTATGGGTTTAATAGTGTTTTGATCTTTTTATAATTAAAAAAAAATGGTTAATACATGGAGCACCTCTCATTAGTTATCAGTAGCCTTTTTTTGCTGCGTTTGAAGTATCATGTCAGCTTTTATATGGTGGGTGTCACCCTTTATATGGTGGGAAGCGCAAGTTGGCTTTCATAACACAAAAACAGCTTCTAGTATAATTTTTCTCTCTCTTTTCTCTTTCTTCCACTTTAAAAGACATGTCGACTTAGCAAAGTTACAAAATGGTTCTTGATCATTTAATTACATAGAACTTGATTTATTTATTTATTTATTTTATATATTGTTATTTGATTTTTTTTATTAAATTTAATCATTATTTTTTTTATTTCTATTTATTTTACTTTTAATCTTATTTTAATTGAATTTTATTTTTCAATTTAATCCCTGATTATTTTATTTTAATTCTTTTTTTATTGAATTTGATCTTTATTCTTATGGTTGCAATTTCTTTTATTTTGATTTCTATTCTTGATTAATTATTCTTTTTTTATAAATTTATCCCTTAAATTCATCCTTTATTGTTTAATTTAATTTTATTTTCATATTATATTTGATATTTATTTTTTTAATCATATTTTTAAAACTCGATCCGAAAGTCAATCCCCATCATGTCCATAGTCATAGTTTGGGTCGAATAATCAGGGTTATCGAGATCAATTTGATTTTTAATTATGCAAAAAGTAAAAATAATATTATTCTAATAAAAATATCTAAAAAATCAACAGTTGTCAACATGATTTTTATCTAGCTAATCATTTCATATTATTTTTTACTAATATAAATAAATAAGTTTAGTAAATATAATTGAGTAAATATCTTATTTTATGTAATTAAAATATTTTTTATTATTGTTAACACATACAGAAAGATAACAACAGTTAATGAGTTTAATCTTAGCTATATAAAAAATTAATTAAAAATTATCACATCGACAAGCTGAGCTCTTCATTATACATGCTATATTTAACCTTTATATCATGATTATATAATTGATTGTATGATTGAGATCTTTTTTTCTAAGCTTTATGAGCTATGAGGGGTAATGGTGGCACCAAGACTTTGAAAATTTTTTACATTGAAGTCTAAGCATCTTGAGATTTTAATTACATCCTTTGATCCAAAACTTGTTTAATATAAAAATCATAGTTTGCACTCTCAAGTTCTCCCTTATTGTTTTTTTTTTTTTTAAAGTTATCTTATTTTTTTTTTCAAATTCCATAAAAAAGTTATCTTATTTTTTTTTTCAAATTCCCTCTTTAATCTAAAAATTATAATTTTACCATTTCCCATGACATGAATGAAATAAAAGTAATAAGATAATTTTTTTGTCAAGATTTTTATTTATAAAAAATATTTTTAAGTAAAATGGATATGGTAAATATGTTAAACCTAAAGAACTTAAACTTGACAATTAACCATGTTCAAAAATAAAATAGATCTAATAAACATGTTGGACAACTTAACCTTGACAGTTAATCAGACCTGAAGTAACATGGCTCTAGCAAATATGTCATATCTGAAGAACTTAAAATTGATAGTTGGTCAAGCTGAAGTTAATGCGGGTTTGTTAAACATGTCAAATCTGAAAAATTCAGACATCATTAAGCACTAATACCATATGCTTGATTTTATATGGTTCTCTATAATATAAAAATAAAAGTTGTTATGCGAAATAATCATTCTTATTAAAATAATGATTTCCATATATTTATAGCTATATATAGTATTTCTTAAAGGACCTAATATACTTAATGTTTCACTAATGATATGTAGAGGATATATGCCTCTTATCAATATCGCCAAAATAAAGGATTTTTAATTTATTTTTGAAAAATAACAAGATTCAACTGTTATAAATATCACTTGAACTATTTAGGTAAAGTATTTCTAATTTTTTATTTTTTATTATAAAAAATATATAATTTTTAATAGGATTAACCAACTTAAAACTAAAAAACAAGCATATTTGTTTGTTAAATTTAAATTTTTTAAAATTATTTATTGTCTTAAATTATTTTATATATTTTCTAGAGGATCATAAAATTTCTTGATTAAAACTATTTTTTAGGTATCCAAGCTTTTATTGCAAACATATAGTTCTTTAGATTTTTTTAAAAGATCAAACTGAAACACTTAAATATATTAATAAACTCTTATCCAAAACACTAATCAACATTTTAGTTACATGTACTTCGGGATATCATAAAAAAGTCCATTTAAATATGTGTACGCGTAACTACTACAGTGTATCCTATAAAGAGTCTGGGTGAAGCCTGTTGGCCTCCCATGCATATCTTGAAAAACAAAATCAGCTTTCTCGTTTAACGTGATGGCATTTCCCAGAGATATTAAGCTTGTGATTGCCATAATGCTAATAAAATTCATCCACTGCCGGCTGCAAACAGGGCAAACCAATCTGATGAAGGTGGGATTCTCGTGCAATGCTTTATTGAATCGGTGAGTGCGTACATTGTATGTGTGCTTCATCAGTGAACTTCTAGAAAAGGGCTTGAAGGGCTTTTAGCTATTCAAAAAACGAAAAAGAAAAAAGAAAAAAGAAAAAAGAATTTTTCTACTCCATCGAAGAGAAATATTGCTCGTCGGGGATAAAGGGTCAATGGATACCGAACAACTGGTGACGCGTACGTGAATCCTGTAATCGCAACCATGGAGAAATTAAAACAAGTTCTCTTTACTTTATTGTTTTTGTAAGAAGTCAACAGCAAAGTTGGCCAGAGGCACAACAGTCACGGGTTTGTCTGGTTTTTTTTTTCACGTTCAATTCCCGTCCACTGTTATCTTTTTGCAGATAGATATACTGTGCTGCATAAAGCAAGTAGAACGCCTACTTTATTTATTTGCTTTTGACTAGCTAAAAGATAATTAAAAGGATGCCGGTAAAAGTCTCTTTGCTTTTTTCAAATCCCGGTGATACTGAACGTACAATCTATCCCCCGCGGATGCTTGTAGTGTGCCTTTTCTCCTTGTAGCAGATGCCCGTCACCGGGGTATATGAAAAGAAAGCCAATTATTTACTCCGGGAGAGTGATTGTTTTCAGGACAAATCTCCGATTTAACATCAATGTTCTCGATTATACGTCGAAGACATTTTTCATATCAATTTCATGGTTAGAGAGATTTTGCTTTTTAATTCGACCATTTCATTAAATACAGTTGATAGATCCTTAAAAATATCGACGTGTTTCTTGTATGATCCGAACTAAATGAGAAATTAGGAGGGAAATCTCCTTCCATTTTTTTTTGCAAGACACGTCACCTGGCATCATAATATAAATCCTAGATCTTCCAAAGCAATTCCAATTGTTATTCCCTTGCATGTCTTTCTCCAGTAAGAAAATCTTTTTCCAAATATTATTTTTTATTAAATAAATTGATATCCAACAATCTTGTTAACTCTATTTAGTGTAATATAATAATTCATAATATTATTTGATATATCAAGTGTTTCCTTTCTCACTCTACAAAATCCATGGATAAAATTTATATATTATTATTATTATTCATTCATTCATTCACAGACACATATTATCATACCATATAATATAATTAGTTTTATTTTCCCTCCCCAGGAGGCATTTACTGATTTATTGATTAATACATCTCAGGAGAAATAGCAATGTGTCACGACATCATTTTGTATGTAATGTCTCATTATTCTTTTCATTTTCACGGGAATTACAACAAGCGCAGCCAATAATTGAATGGATACCATAAATCTCGATCGCGTGTGGAAGCGTAGACATTTTAAAGAGTTGCTGAATGTTGATTTCTCAAACAGGGCCCTACCAAGGCAGATCGAGAAGCTCGCTTGACCGCCCATCATTCCTGCTGGCAAATAATAAATACGCTACCCAATTTGAACATAATCAACTAATACAAGAATTGCTTCGTCGGTTGTCTGATAGATAAATTACGGATGCCAATCCAACGGCTAAGAATAATTGAAATCAGGCATGTCTGTACACGGGGACAGGATTTCTGACCATCAGACAAGAAAGCCGACCGCAATCAATGTCATTTTCTAATCCCCCCCTTCTATTTTTATTACCTTTTGCCTATGAAAATCAATACATAAAAACCCACTACTAGAATTGATGGATTTAGGGTATTTATTATTGTCACAAGATTGATTCTTAAAATATGTTGTTATTCAAAAGATATATTAAAAATATTTTTTATTTTTGTAAAATTATTCTTAAAATCAGTATATTAAAATAATTTAAAAAAATTTTAATTTTAAATAAAAAATTTAAATTCCTTAAAAACATCGTTTGGAAAGCAATATCTAATAATTGGAGGCTAATAATGTTTATGGTGTTTTGTTTAAAATTTTTTAAAATAATTTTTTAAATTTAGTTTTTATTTTTAATGTTGGATTAAATAATTTGAGAAGTATTTTAAAACACCCCCTTTGACTTTTAGGGGATATCAAGATTCCGTTACATACTACCAAAAGGTTAAAAAATATATATATAATTGGAATTAATTTGCGGTGACGAGTTCTATTCCACTCGTAGATAAAAGAATCTTTTTTCCTCTCGTTCTGAGGTTCCTTTATTGCCCCCTGGTAGATAGATAAAAGGAAACGCAAATGGAGGCCAAGACAACCCTTTCACTTTTGTCCAAGGCAAAGTTCTAATAAATAGAACTTTCCCAGAAGGCAAACAAAAACACAAAAGAACACCATAATCTGTCCATCTTTGCCTCTTACTCATTCTTGTTTAGCTTTCTCCTTTTTGCGTTTCTTTTAATCATTCAAACTTTTCTAGTTGGTCATGGTAGTAGGAGATGCAGGCTACAACTAGCTTTTTTGACATATAAAGCTCTTGGTTTCACACTTGACTTGTTTCTCTCTTTGTTCCCTGTCTCAAGCTTGTCTTTGCCTTGTTTCTATCAAAGCTTTCTTGAGCTGGGTTTCAATAGTTATTCATTCTTTAGCAGCTGCAACCTGTGACCAAAGTGAAGGGTTTTCGACGTCTTTGTGTCAATGGGGTCGTGCTTCAGTGCTAGAATTAAAGCTGAGAGTCCTCCTCGAAACGGTATGTTCACAAATTCACACACATCTTGTTCTTGATGGATATTTGTTCTCACTGTTTGCCAAAGATAGTAATTTTTGTTCATTCCTTTTTTGATCTTTCGTTGAAAAGGAATCTTTAGTTTTTTGCTTCAGCCTTTTCCTCTCAGAAAGTAGCATTATTTTGGATTCTTGATGTTTTCCTTTTCAGTATACGGACCTCTGTTTGAATTTTGACTGATAAGAGAAAGGAAGAGTGAACAGGGATCAAGGATTTTGATTCTAATGTCTTTCCTTCCATTCTAAGATCAACCATGCTTCTAATTCTAACGTACTAATATTCACTACTTTCTTGTCGCTGAAACTTTCAGCTTACCACCAAAGAAGATAACAAAAATCATCCATCTTGTCGCGTTCCATTAGGCTAATTAAGATAGCTGATGTAGCAAAAGAAAAACAAGAAAATAATCTCAATTAAATAGAACCATTAGGAATGGTTTACATGGGGCTTCATTACTGAACGAATCAAGATCAAACATAACCATTTGAAAGATTTAATCTGTAGTAATTTTTCTGTTTTTCTTGGCAAATTTGGCATTGATCAGGAAATTTTTCCTTTCCTTTATTTTCTTTTCCAAGTCTTTTTGAAAGTAGACGGTTCATTTCTTGCTTTGCGTTTGTAGACATCTAGATGAATTTATAAGATATGATGCGTTGATTATTCAGGGGTGAACACAAAATATGCTGGCAAAAGTGGGAACGACAAGAGTGGGTCAAGCAGCAAGGTCTCTTCTTCCACAGTGCCTTCAACTCCTCGGACGCAGGGTGAGATCTTGCAGTCCTCAAATTTGAAGAGCTTTTCCTTTAGTGAATTAAAAGCAGCCACTAGGAACTTCCGTCCTGATAGTGTGTTGGGGGAAGGTGGTTTTGGTTGTGTCTTCAAAGGGTGGATTGATGAGCATTCATTGACAGCTGCCAAGCCTGGAACAGGTACAGTTATTGCTGTAAAGAGGCTTAACCAGGAGAGTTCCCAGGGTCACCAGGAATGGTTGGTGAGTATCCCTTTTTCCATTCGTTCCTTGCCTGCCTATTTCTAAAACTCTCTCTTGAATTTTGTAGAAAGGTTTACAAATGTCCAGAGACAAGTTAAGATACAATCAATCGTCCAATATGAACTGGTATTCAATGCTTCTTGTAAAGAGCTGGATTAACCAAGTTAGAATTGAAACAGATTCACTAGAAAATCCTTAATGATCCGGCTCTTGCAGTTTTAGTACATAGATGATAATTTTTAAAGATAGTATGATTAATAGATTCTGTGCTGATTCTTCGACTGCAGGCAGAAATAAACTACCTGGGCCAGCTGTATCATCCAAATCTAGTAAAATTGATCGGCTATTGCTTAGAAGATGACCACCGGCTTCTGGTTTATGAGTTTATGCCCAAGGGAAGCTTGGAGAATCATCTTTTCAGAAGTGAGCAGTTGATACATCCGATATCCGACCTTTCAACTCAAGTTGTAGTATTTTCTATGACCTCGAATATCTTGGATAAAAATCATTGAAATAGTTTTTTTTACTGGAACAGGGGCTTCTTATTTTCAACCACTCTCTTGGAATCTCCGCATGAAGGTTGCCCTTGATGCTGCCAAGGGTCTAGAATATCTTCACAGTGACAAGGCGAAAGTTATATATAGAGACTTTAAGGCTTCTAATATCCTGCTCGATTCGGTATGTGAAAATGTTTCGGATTTTGAGTTTTGCTTCATGAGCTTTTACTGTTCTTGCACCTCTCTTATACATTCTTTGTACATTGTGAAATCACAGAATTATAGAGCCAAACTCTCTGATTTTGGGTTGGCCAAGGATGGACCAACAGGCAGTAAAAGCCATGTATCTACAAGGATCATGGGTACCTACGGTTACGCAGCTCCTGAATATATGGCAACAGGTATCTTTCAAATCACCACATCGGTCATGCTCACTTCTGCAATCCGTGCTTCTTGTGGAACAACTCAATCCTATGCTATATTCTCTCAACGTTATTCTCCTGAAAGAAATGCTTATTTTATACAACTATGGCTTTTTATTGCTTTCATCTCACTTCTGTTTGTATTTATGAAGGTCATCTAACTGCAAGGAGTGACGTATACAGTTTCGGGGTTGTTCTCCTTGAAATGTTATCTGGCAGACGAGCAATAGACAAAAACAGGCCCTCCAAGGAACAGAATTTAGTTGAATGGGCAAGGCCTTACCTTAGCAGCAAGCGCAGAATTTTCCAAGTTATGGATGCTCGCATCCAAGGCCAGTATTCATCTAGTGATGCTCTGAAAGCAGCAAACCTTGCAATTCAATGCCTATCAGCCGAACCAAAGTACAGGCCACACATGGAAGCAGTGGTAAAAGCATTGGAACAACTTAATAATTCCAATGACAACGATGGATCCAAGGGCTCTCATGGTGAAAACCCCCTAAGAGTTAATCGAAGTTCAAGCAATGGTCCTAAATATCACAGGAAAAATGTCAACGAAGTTTCCAATGGAAAGCCTGCCTCTTATGCCGGGCCATATATTTCACCTCTTCGTACATAAAAGAGGAAGAATATTCAGTACATGCTTTACATTGTATATTAATCCCAAGAAAACTACAGATTTATTTTGATAGAGCGTTGTATCCCGTAAAGCATGGAATTAGAAACATGACATTTACTGTACAGTTCTTCAACTCAACATCTAAATATGACAGTTTTTTTGTCACGCTGACTGACCGGGTGATAAGGAACTTGATGAAGCACCGGAAACTCTAGGATTGAAATGGAATTTTCATGGCTGTGATTACAAGTTGATAGAGGGACCAGGTTTGGCCTCGGTCCACTGAATGTTCACCTAAAAAAAAAAATATTCTCTTGGCTTGGAACTCAATTGTTCTTGAAAATCAAGTCTCATATTGGAACGCGAGACCCTTGTACAAATAATAAAGAAGTATATCCTGATTTGCACCTACCGGGCTAGCTGTCCCATGCCCGAACGGCAAGCAAAGAAACTTACAAGCATGGTAAATTTTTTTCACCATCAAAACTCAGGAGACTATCAACAAGCTCAAGTGACCCTGCATACCGATTATGGTTAAAAACATGACACCGTTAATAAATGTAGATGCAGCTCTTACTTCTTTTCTCTTAAGTTTCCTGATTTTGTAATTACTGGAAAACCAAATGTCCAAGAGTAGAGCAGGAATTAGCCCTGTTTTTGCAATGTCCCCCGGCAATATGAAATAGATCAGAAACTGTTCAATCTTGGCAGAAATTCATTTTTCTATGGTAACATTTAACTCCTGGTAATCAAAATTGCAATTTTTGGTAACATTTACAAGCTCAAATGCTTTCAATTGTTCTTAAAATGACAACGCAAAGCCAACAACATCTCCTAACAAACTCATCCACTACTCATTTGATGACAGTAAAATCATAAATTTCTCTTAACATGAGAGTAGCACTGAGTTTATTTCAAGTCCCTGAATTCTTGGTTCAGAAGGGATCATTATGTTGCTTTCAAAAATATCAGGACTAAAATATAACTTCACTGAACAATGAAGGTCTTAAAAGTAAATTACTATGAAGGGATCATTATGCTGTGGTCGAGTTTTATGTTAACGGAGACAGCGAACGTGGGCAACAACCGGCGATCATGATTGCCACTTCAATGTCTCTGCTCCAACAAGTGTGTTCCGTGCCAGTCGCACGTGCCATGCGACCTCGTTCCCTTACCATCATATCCTCTCGCAGCCTCTCCACCACCACCGCTTCCTCCTCCGCTCCATCACGTGCCTCTCTCTTGGACCCACTCGGCATGTCCGAGCCCGAGCTTCAGCAAATCGCCGTCGAACTCGGCAAGGTAATCATCATTAAAGCTGAAAGTTACTTGTTTTCTGTTTGGTTCCTGAGAAAATGGAGCAAAAGAAAGTAATTAGTTGTGAAACTTCAGTAATTGAAGAGAAAATAAATTGAGTTTTAGTTAGTTATTTTTAAACTTAAATTTTTTATATTTCAATCTCGTTGTTTTCTTCTTCTATTGAAAAAATATATAAATAGCAACGCTGTAGAGGAAAGCAGCTCCACCATCTAATATACCGGAGAAAAGTAAAAGAAACACAGGATTTCAGTCAATGAAAAGTAGTACTGAACTCGTAAATTAATTTAGGACAGCTTTTATTTTGAGTCCAATTTTGGTATTCTTGTAGCCTACGTTAGTTTTATTTGTCCCCTTTTTCCCTATGGAATTAGTGCCGCCTCAGGGTTCGTTTGTTTGTGCGGTGCACCACACCAACAAACTGGCAATTAGAAATGATCTTCAAGAAGCTGGATGGAAAGTTGGGCGATCACCAATTTTTCGTACTGTAACCGCAGCTGATGGCACGGTTAAGGTTGATATGTTGTTATGCTTGATTTGTAATTTGGCGTTCTGTCCTGTTATTGATTTTGTGCCAAACTTGATCGAGGTGGTTTTAATATTGCTACATGGTTCTTGCCAAATGAAAGGTATATTCAGGGCAATTTTACTGCTGCTATGTGTCATTCTTTATTTGCATGACATACTTGGTCTCGAATGTTGTATCATATGATAAGAAATTCTATTGTTTATCATTCAATGTAATTATAGTTCCAGGGAAGCGAACACTTGCACTCATCCCTTTCTAATTTGAAGTGTATGGTGTCATATACTCAAGCTGCCTAATGATCATGCAGTTATTGATAATATTGGGGGGATAACAGATTGATTGAAACTGTTGGTATTCAGTTGAAGATAAGAAAGGTTCAAGGTGGCTTACTGCCTTTGTCTCATCTCAGGTACTTTCCATGTCAAGGATTAGCCTTAGTAAAAAGTTTCTTGGTCATGGTGTTTTTACGGGTTGCTGATAATTTTCTCATGGTTCCTTTTTACTTTTATCGTTCAGGTAGGTTGTCCTTTGCGCCACTCATTTCATACCCGCTGGAAAGGGTGTTTTTTCAAGGAATCTTCAAAGGCATGAAGTTGCTGAGCAGGTCAGTGTTGCATGTCTTGTGCAATTGTTCTTCAAACTCAATTATCAAGCGGGACTGTTGAGAGTGTTTTACTGTTTGTATAACTGAGAACATATAGACTTGGTAGTTCTGTAACTACTCCATTCCTTTCAAAATTACGCTTAATGCTTTATACACTCAGATTTTGGCTGTCGAGGAGATATTCGAGCACAGGGAGACAAATATGGTGTTCATGGGAATGGGTGAACCAATGTTGAACTTGAAGCACACCAATGCTCAAATAAGGCGGTGCCTTTTCAGTTTTTTTGTCAACGATTATCCCATTGCTTCTATTCTATCTTTTGTTTAATTATTTTAATACCTGCTATTGTCTTTGTTGTGTGTCCCCTTTCTTGATTTGGTTAGTTTTACCTGCCACGATCAATGATAAGTTTGACCATAATAATCTCTCTGTAAGCGTACTTGGAAGTGGAAACAGTGACCTGAAAGAATTAAGATAAAATTTGGCTGAAAAAAATGAGTCCCTTGACATTGATTTTGCTAGTTCAAAGATTAGTGAAGATGAGAGCTGCAAAGATACTCTTAGATGCCCACATGAATGCTCTGCCATTTTCATATACTTTTTACTTCTGAAACAACTGGCCTCCCGTTTATTGTAAATTTTCAACAGATCTCTATACATAGGTTTCAGATGTCTCATGTACAATTGTTTTTTCTTATTTCATCAGGATGTGGAAATTGGGCAAAGAATGATCACAATATCAATCGTGGGGGTTCCAAACACTATCCAAAAGCTGGCTTCTCATAAACTTCAGTCAACATTGGCCTTCAGGTACTGTATGAGTAAACAGAGAATATATGGTCGAATAATATGTTGTCATCCGTCTCTGAGTAAATTGGGTCATTTCCAGTGATGTTCTTTGGCGCCGTAAATGTTGTCATCCATCTCTGAGTAAATTGGGTCATTTCCAGTGATGTGCATGTCTTGATGCATTTTTCTCTTAATGCATCCCTTTGATGCCAAAAGTTTATGTTAGCCTGTGATGACATTTACTCATTCTTTTTTCTTATATGCACCAGCTTACGTGGACCAGAAACTTAGAGAATCAATTGTTCCAAGTACAAAATCCTACCCTCTAGAAGCAATTATGAAAGATTGCGAGTACTTCCTTGAAACTATTCAATGAGTATCCTTTGAGTATGCACTTTTAGGTACTGAAATTTCATTTAATATTTCTCTGCTTCACTTGAAGCTTGACGGTGAAAACTAATAGGACTATTCTATCCCCTTACATAAATTTATAATTTGCTAGGGCAGCTGGGATCAATGATAGAGTAGAGCATGCAAAAGAACTTGCAGACCTACTTCATCAGTGGGAACGTGGTCATCATGTGAATGTGATACCTTTCGACCTAATTCAAGGTTCTGATTACAAGCATCCACACAAAAAGGCAGTATGCACACCAGTCATAAACTCACTGTTTTCCCCTGCTGTCAGTAAGAATACTTGAGTATTCAAATCACGCATTGCCATTTTAATTTGCTTTACCTTTCCACTTGGCTGGCACAAGCATTTGCAGCTGCTCTAGAGTCACGCAAAATAACTGTTGGTGTGCCAAACAAGGGGGGCCTGGATGCAAGTGCAGCTTGTGGTCAGCTAAGAAATGAATTCCAAAAGAGTCCTTTAGTCATGAGTTCTGACAGCTTGTAATCAGAGAAATTTACGGTTGCATGCTGGTGCTTTGAGGTCTCTGGTTGGTTGCTTCTATGATGGTATTTCACTCTTGTTTTCTTCCCTGGTGTGCAAGAATGCTTGACGGCCAGGCTAGTTGGTGTCTCCAAGCATGCTCATTATGGCATAATGTAGAATTTTTTTCTGCTGTGCGGCTGCAGAAGTGGAAGTTTGTCTCATGCATGATGCAAAAATTGAGGGGGTTCATGAATGGGCTCATTTTGCTGATTTATTCGGATAGTTTTTGGTCGTTAATAGCCTGAAACACATGAGATGAAGAAAGGAGGTCTCAATGATCTCTTATACATAACACAATCAACAGTGTTAGTTATGTTTTGTAAAGAATTAAAGATGTAACCTACGACCATCCATTTTTTTTTAATTATTATTACTATTAATAACGTGCTTCCATCTTTGCTCGTGATGAGAAAGGGATCATTGATCTTATGCATGTGTGTAGTCTGGAGCATGATTGTAAAATCCTGCTGTAGATTGATTCGGAAAACGAGACCCAGAGTCTAACTTAGTCTGGGTTGTTAGTTAACCAGCCAAAATTGATCCTGTAAAACTCATTTGATCCGGTCAAGGTTTTTGATGACTTGAGTGACCGGGTCAATTCTAAGAAGAAAAAATATATTATTTTTTTTAGATACCAAAAAACTTAATATGTTCATTCAAAAAATGAACAGATGTGTGTTTTCTTAGACAGAGATTGTGATTGTTGTCATTTAAATATTCAAGATTTTAAATTTAGGTTGCATTGTAGTTATTTGAGTTATATTTGTTAATTTGAAATTTAGGTCTTTAAATTATTATTATTTTTTATTAATTAAAAGTTGTGTTGAAATTGAGACATTTTTATATTTCAAAAACCATTTTTAATGTAGAGCGTCATTGATCTACTAGGTTGACCCAATGAACCAAATCATTTTTTTGAGTCAGTCTTCAAGTGATTCTGGCACCTGCAAACAAGAAGAGGACCATGGCTCGCTTGACCAAGCTTTTGT